CAGTGTACCAACCTGACCAACACAACTGATGGTCCCAACCCCATTAAGAAAGCAAGAAATTTCACAAATGAACCCTGACAAGGCACACCTGTGAAGTGAAAACCATTTGAGGTGAATACATCATGAAGCTCATTGAGAAAAGGCCAACGGTTTACTGTGATGTCAACCCTGAAAGTAGTAAAGGGTGGCTACTTTCAGGAATCTACAATATAAGACGTATTTAGAGTTATTTATTAATTTTCTCTTTGCTACATAATTCCATATATCTTGCTTCATATATTAGATGTCTTCAATATGTATCTACAATGAGAAATGGGGAAGTGATGGTAACAGGGTGCTGTGGGAATGCTACTATGAACTCCAGCAGGTCCCAGGAATAAAATCCCAGATCTCTGTCCAGAAGAGCACAGTCCTAAGATACTGCGCAGTACTCTCTGGGGTCCCTTTAGGGTCCAAATGTCCAAAGAAAAAAATTTAAAGACCTCCAGAAAGCCTGCAGAACTATTGCTCAACTATTAAAAAGAATGTCTGGCTCCTTGGAAGCATAATATGGTCATCCCAGGCAGCCAGTCAGAAGAAAGCTAATGATAGGAGGGTCTTATAGTAGGAGGAGACTGAGTTTGCTTTTACAAACATACAGATAAGAACCAGTATGAGATAAGCAGGGTTTATTCTAAACTCTGTCATGCAGCCTGACTGTAGTAGAGTTTAGGGATAAAAATATGGACCTGGACTTGAGCAGAATAATTTCGCTTTGAGTTATTTTTCCCATTTGAATGTCGATCAACTACTGTTGCTAGTGCACATAAAACTTTCTGGTCAAGAACAGATGAATTTCAGTAGACTGTATGTGCTCTTTTTCATTATTTTAGGCCTGTGGGCTGTAGTGAACAATGCCGGCATCTCCATTCCCAGTGCCCCATGTGACTGGCTGACCCTCAATGACTACAAACCCATGCTGGATGTGAACCTGAATGGGGTGATTGGTGTGACCCTAAGCGTCCTACCGCTCATAAAAAAAGCAAGGGGAAGGGTGGTGAATGTTGCCAGTGTGTTTGGAAGGATCAGTCCTGTTGGGGGCCCATATACTGTCTCAAAGTACGGTGTTGAAGCATTCAATGACAGCCTCAGGTAAGGAGAACTCATAAAATATTGGTATGATAATACAAAGATTTCCCGGGTTGATGAAGTGTCCTTCTTAGGTTAAATATGGCACCTTTTGGTGTGAAAGTCCTCTGCATTGAGCCAGGCTTCTTCAAGACAAATGTGACCAACAGTGCTATCCTGAGCAAAAACATTAAAATGATCTGGGATAAACTTCCACAGGAAGTCAGAGATGATTATGGAACGGCATACCTACAGAAAGGTATATGTGGATTACCACTTCTTCCATTTATTTTGGTTCACAACTGATTATTTGTTCTTATTTCATTTATTTGCCCCTTTTAGCATTAACAACCTTAACTGACAAAGTTGCCAAAATGAGTGATGCAGACTTGATGAAAGTGGTCAGCTGCATGGAACATGCCGTGGCTGCTGTCCATCCTCGCACTCGCTACTCCCCGGGCTGGGATGCCAAGTTCTTCTGGCTGCCGCTATCCTACATGCCAACCTGCATCAGTGATTACATCCTGAAGCTGGAAGCTATTCCCATCGCCAAGCAGATAGAATAACTTTGCATGTAATAAAGGCATTCTCTCTGTATGTACATCTCATGCATCAGTAAATTTAACTGATTTCAGAAAGGCTTTGTCTTTCAATCTGTTCTCATTACTTATCACATTACTTTCTCAGAAAGGAACCTTTGCACCTTTTTCACAAAGGCATTTTCAAGGCCATCTTATCTACAGCTAGTCTGAACAGATGAAAAGACCTGTGTCCATGAGATTATTGATAGGCATGTGGGAAAGGTTAAGAAAGACCAATAAAATAAAAAATAAAAAAAGAGTCCAGTTCACACTTGGTTTCAAAGTACACAGCGAGCAGGATCGTGTTGTTGCTATACTTCAAATAGTAGAAATGCCTTGTTTTGCAGTATCAAAACAAGACTGCAATGTCACCTGCAGGATTTTAACTTCTTAAGTTACAAAGCAAAATGTTTATAGTTATTGGTAGAGTTAGCTGCGCAAATAAAAATAGAACTGTATGTCCAAAAGATATAGAAAAGGTAAAATCTTGTTTTTTAGGATGCAGTGCTAATCTTACCTTGGAGGGAGTCACTGACCTGGTGGACACGAGGTTGTAAGGTTCATTCTGTTCATTTTACTTCATGACTCCTATCTAGACGAGGAGTCAAACTGTTTAAATACATAGTATTTTTTGTCTCCAGTGGCACTAACAATCTTTCCTATATGAAACCTTTATATATTAAGCCTTTAAATTCTGTCATTGTTCCTGTAAACAGTAATGCCATTAGTGCTTTCTAATAAAACCAGATTTAGAGCCAAAACTCTGTATTTAGGTAGTACCTTCACACTTTTGTTTATTCTTATATTCATATAGTCCCTGCTGGCGTCTGACAGCAGTTTGAGATCTAGAGTGGTCATTTGTATAACGCTTCTGTGAAAAGCTTGAAACACTGAAATAAACAACGTTAAAATGAAATTATTTCTGAAACATCACGTTTTAAATATTTAGTTTTAGTCTGTCAAACTGGCTGCATCTGTCAACACTGTTATGTCTGCATGACGGTCAACTGTCTTTAGAAAGGATTTGATTTCATACCAACTTTATTTTTTTTACCCCCGATTCAAGCGTTAAATAGGTTTTAGCCACAATAACCCCCTTTTTTTTTTTAGGTTCAATAAAACTCTGCTGTACATGTTTTTGGAAAGCATGTAAATTGGCGCATGTTGACTTAATTTGTACAATTTCAGATCGTCTTGACTACTTTGACCAAGTAAACAACTGCAGAATGACAGAATTGTTCAACTGTTTTATTTCAGCATGTGACAAGCTGGAGCACAGTTGATAGCTTAACATAGCAGCTCCAGAATGCCATCTTCTGGTCAAAGTAGACAAGGACAGCCATTTCTTTAACTCCTTTACCAGCAACAAGATTTTCCACTACAAGTATAACCACTGAGAAAATATGCAGTTAACGATGAGTTTTATGTAAAGACTGTTTTATTCCATCTTTCACTGGAAACATTAAATAGAACTTTTTCAGGATGACAAGACAGGTACATTTGTATTTTGACATGTTTTACAAACCAAGTGCTCCTAACCATAGGGCCTCTCTGCTTCTACTCTTCTCTCTTCCCTTCAGTTAGGTTGTCTGGATGTTTATGAGTGCTCCTCAGCCAGTTTCTCAGCTTTCTGAACCACCTCCTCAATTGGACCGACCATGTAGAAGGCTTGCTCGGGCAGAGCATCATACTCACCTGAAATGAAATGAGAACAAAAAAGGCAATTAAATTATAAACAGAGCTGAGGAAGTTGAGGATCACAAGCCATAAAAAAATTAAAAACTTAATTAATTTAAAAAAAAAAAAGGACAATTCAAACTTACCACCAAGGATGCTCTTGAAGCCCTTGATGGTTTCCTTGAGGGGCACCAGCTTGCCCAAGTGGCCAGTGAAGACCTCGGCCACTTGGAATGGCTGAGACAGGAAACGCTGGATCTTACGGGCACGAGCCACAGTGAGTTTATCCTCCTCAGACAACTCATCCATACCCAGGATGGCAATGATATCCTGTAGTGATTTGTAGTCCTACAGAAGAAGAAAGTAGCCTAGTTTGTTTGAAGCACTTACAGTTGTCATGTTAATTCTAATGGTACCAATAAAGCTGCAAACCTGAAGGATTTTCTGCACGCCACGAGCAACATCGTAGTGCTCGGCTCCGACAATGTTGGGGTCCATGATACGGGAAGTTGAGTCCAGGGGGTCGACAGCAGGGTAGATGCCCAGCTCAGCGATGGCACGGGACAACACTGTGGTGGCATCCAAGTGAGCGAAGGTGGTGGCGGGGGCAGGGTCAGTCAAATCGTCAGCAGGCACGTAAATGGCCTGGAAACACAGGACTTGTTAGCATTTTTGGAAGTCCTAGGTTACCCTTTAGGTTGCCAAGCAACATATAAAACTAGGATTTATTCCTTACTGTCAGTAAGATAGTTTCCAGCTTATGTCAAAGTAAATAGATTTTTGATTTCTAAAATGCAGACTCAGCACTCCTCAAACCTCACCTGCACAGATGTGATTGAACCCTTCTTGGTGGTGGTGATTCTCTCCTGCATGGTACCCATGTCAGTGGCCAGAGTGGGCTGGTAACCCACAGCAGAGGGAATACGACCCAGCAGAGCAGACACCTGAGAGAGAAGGTGAAGTCATCAAGATTGCAGTTTGACAGAATCAGTGTATTTGAAGGAGGAAGAGGGGGAAACAAAATAACTTTTGAAATGAGAATCTTTACATTGGATGTGTGGTGTAGCTAGAGCAGTTGTAAATCTTTATTTTTAAGGAAAGCTTTGGTTTAAATCAAGTTGCACAGACCTCAGAGCCAGCCTGTGTGAAGCGGAAGATGTTGTCAATGAAGAGCAGCACATCCTGACCCTCCTGGTCACGGAAATATTCAGCCACAGTCAATCCAGTCAGAGCAACTCTGGCACGGGCACCGGGGGGCTCGTTCATCTGTCCGTACACCAGCGCCACCTAGCATGGACAAGAGTTTGGTTAAATCAGACATTTTGGAATGTGCTGTAATAAAAATGCATCTTTTTAAAGTTGCTTTCCACAGTCCTCACCTTGGAGGTGGTATCCTTCAGGTTGATCACACCAGACTCAATCATTTCATGGTACAAGTCATTCCCCTCACGGGTACGCTCTCCCACACCAGCAAACACAGAGTAACCACCATGGGCCTTGGCCACGTTGTTGATCAGCTCCATGATCAATACAGTCTTGCCTACACCGGCACCACCGAACAGACCTGTCAAGTCGAGAAAACCAAGTTAGTTTATCACGCATCAAAGTCAAGGCTGAGAAAATGTGCATGTTTGGGCTCATACCGATCTTTCCTCCCTTGGCATAGGGAGCCAGCAGGTCCACAACCTTAATGCCAGTAACCAGAATCTCCTGTTCCACACTCATGTCAGTGAATTCAGGAGCCTCTGCATGGATAGGTGCAGTCCTGGGAAGAAGGGGAAAAAAAAAGTAGATTAATGTAATCACTGAACACACCAGTTAACATTTAAAAGCACAGCATCTATATATGTCCTATCATAACAGGTTTTATTATTGCTTCAGACTGTGCATGTTTAAACCTCATACAAAAAACTGCAGGATATTTTCAAAGTGTACTTACTGTTTGGTGGAGATGGGACCCCTCTCATCAATAGGCTCCCCGATGACATTCATAATCCTGCCCAGGGTCTCGGGACCCACTGGAATTCTGATGGGGGCACCAGTGTCCAGAACCTTCTGTCCACGGACCAGACCCTCAGTACCATCCATAGCAATGGTACGCACTGTGTTCTCCCCTAAAAACAGAAAGTGATTTTGATGTGTCTGTTTAACCTAAGAAAGAGTTGCTAGTGGTATTGTAGCTAGGTAGGTGAAGAGTATAATCCAGCTGGCTCACCAAGATGCTGTGCCACCTCCAGGACTAGCCTGGATTCACGGCCTGCCACCTCCAGGGCATTGAGAATGGGAGGGAGACCCTCATCGAACTGGACATCGACAACGGCACCAATGACAGCCACAATGCGTCCGTTGGCGGTGCTGGCAGCGGCGGCAGGTGCGACATAGTCTCTACCTGGAACATGAACCACTGAGTGTCATACAGATGTGCTGCAGCTGTGACCTTGTTATGCATTATGGCCGGAAGAAGCACCGAAAAGGGCTTCTATACTTGTGTGTGTCCGGCCGGTACATCTCAATGTCAACTGGCTTAGGCTAATCTGCGAATAAGTTTTTAAACTGGAAAGTGAAACAGCAGTACTAAGCAGAATTCAGTAAAATTTCAGTTTATTTTATTAAGTGCAAATAAGCGAGTTCTCCCACTAAATAGCGTCAGAGCCAACAGTGACAGATGAATGGATAGCGATTCCGAGCTAGAATTGCTAATGCTGCATACTTGGCCACAAACTCAGTGACACAACTTTGTTTTTCCCTTTATAGTTTTGTTATTTTGGCACTGTATTACCTCCACACGTATCACAAAAGTGAACCCTGTTACCGACTGTCTAACCCTGCTAATCTGCAACTACGAATGCTAACAGCAGTCTTCGACCGCCTCATGTCATTACAGAGGTCATTTCTAATAACACAAGAATAATACAGTCTGCTCACTTCACAATGCGAAGTAACCATGAAAAGATCGGTTTGCACACATGTGTACCCATTTAATGTTTTGGAAACACTCCGGCTGATTTAAAATGTACATTTTAATATTAAGGCCTGCTAAGCCACCGGCAGGCAAAGCCAGCGTGTTGCTAGCACCAGCTAAGTTTAGCATGGTCCCTGCCCTCTTCTGACAGCCACGTAAATGCGTCTGTTCTTTAAACAATCTTCTTTCCAGAAACAACGAGCATGCAGGACTCACGTGAAAGGATAGCTGGGGATCCAACAAGAGCCTTCAAGGGCTGGACTCCAGGCTTCAGAGCCTGCAAAGCCCCGGTGCAGCAGCGTCCCACAGCTCCTAACATTGTCAAAATGGCTGAAGGTGGAAAGAGACAGAGGAACTTCAGGCTTTATAACGTATGACCGCTTAGACGAACTGCGCCTGCGCACAACGTAAAACACGC